GCCTTTCCAGCTTTCTCAGCCCTAAATCACATCCAGAGCTATGCCTTCCCTCCCCTCAACCAACCATCATTCACCCGGCCATCAGGTCGACTGGCCAAAACTCCCATTTCTGCCCTTGCGCGGCCTGTCACACAGAGCCCTTCCCCCATGGCCCCCTTCTGGATGTTCTCAACCTTGGATGCACACTGAACTTATCTGGGGAGGAGGAGGTAATACTGTTGCTTGACTTCCACCTCAGAGATTCTTATTTAAATGGTCCGAAGTGCCTGGGCACCATGAGTCTTTACAGCTCCCAGATAATTGTGTGTATTAGAAGAATGCAACAGGGTTGAGACTCATTAATCTAAAAAATAAGGATCATCAAATGCACCATGTAATTCACTTAAGGGGAAAGAACACTGCTAATCATCTTCATCTGTTTCTGTGTTAGAAAAAAAAATCACAAGTTTAACTAGAATCATAGGGTCTTAAATAGACATTAGGCTTAGAATTGTTGTAAACGTAGTGTCCAGTCCAACCATGGAGTCGTCTGGTAGAAACCTAAATCTAGAACACAGTGTTAGTTCTGTGGTGATGTTATGGACTGAATGTTTGTGTTCTCCTAAATTTCATATGTTAAAATCCTAACCTTAATGCGATGGTGTTAGGAGGTGGGGCCTTTGGGTGGTGATTAGGTCATAAGGGTAGAGCCTTCGTGAATGGGATTAGTGGCCTTATAAGAGGGACCCCACGGAGATTCCTCACCCTCTTTCTGCCAGGTGAGGATTCAACGAGAGGACAGTAGGGAAGAAGGCCCTTAACAGAACGTGGCCATGCTGGCACCCTAAGCTTGGCTTCCCAGACTTCAGAGCCGTGAGGGAAAAGCTTTTGTTGTTTAAGCCACTTGGTCTACGTTCGTTATGGCAGACTGAACTTACTAAGGCAGGCTGTGACAGTTCATGAGTAAAGCTGGCCTAAGAGAAGGCAAGGAGCTGTAAACAAGCGTGGCCATGCTGGATTCATCATGGAAAGTGTGCTTGTGGAGAAAAACCGCCCAGTCTTTTAAAAGACATTTTAGATGATTTAATCAGTTCTTTCATTTGGTTATATGCACAAAGGATGGTTTAATGCATGATTTACTGAATAGCAACAGATCGTTTAATAAGGAGTTGATTACCTTCTTTAGATATCTGAAGGGTTGTTCATGGAATGAAAATTAGATTTATTCCTTGGAGCCAGAGGGCAGAATGAAGATAAAAAGTGAAATGTTACATTATAGCATATTTCCATTCAATATAACGAGGTAAGATGTTATCTTTACAAAACGCTGCCCAATAGTGGAGTCAGCAAAACCAAAAGAGAGTGAGATTCTTTTTTTTAAAGTTCTATTTTCTAATTACAGTTGACATACAATATTATATTAGTTTTAGTTGTACAACATAGTGATTAGACATTCATATACCTTAGGAAGCAATCAACCTGATAAATCTAGTACCCATCTGACACCATACATAGTTATTATAATATCATTACTATATTCCATATGCTGTCCCTTACACCTGTTGCTATTTTTATAACTGGCACTTTGTACTTATTAATTCCTTTCACACCCCTTTCCCTTCTGGTGACTATCAATTTGTTCTCTGTATTTCTGCTTATTTCTATTTTGTTTACTTTGTTTTTACTTAGATTTCATATATGAGCGAACTCATCTGGCATTTGTCTTTCTCTGTTTGACATTTCATTCAGCATAATACCCTCTAGTTCCATTCATGTTGTTGCAAATGGCATGATTTCATTTTTTTATGGCTGAGTAATATTTCATTGTATTATATGTACCTCTTCTCTATCCATTCATCTACTGATGGACACGTAGGTTGATTCCATAGTCTGGCTATTGTAAATAATGTTGCAGTGAGCACAGGGGTACATATATCTTTTTGAATTAGTGTTTTGGATTTCTTCAGATAACCCAGAAGTGGAATTGCGGGTCAAATTGTAATTCTAGTTTTAAGTTTTTTGAGAAAGCTTCATACTGTTTTCCATAGTGGCCACACCAGTTTGCAGTCTCACCAACAAAGTATGAGGGTTCCCTTTTCTCCATATCCTCACCGACACTTGTTTGTTGATTTATTGATAATAGCCATTCTGACAGGTATGAGATGATTTCTCATTGTGGTTTTAATTTGCATTTCCCTGATGATTAGTGTTGTTGAATATGTTTTCATATGTCTATTGGCTATCAGTATGTTCCTTTTGGGGAAATGTCTATTGAGGTCCTCTGGTCATTTTTTAATTTATTTGTGTGTTTTTTTGTGTGGTAAGTTGTATGAGTTCCTTATACATTTAGGATATTAACTCCTTATCAGATTTGGCATTAGTGAATATCTTCTTCCATTCAGTAGGTTGCCTTTTTATTTTGTTGATGGTTTGCTTCACTCTGTAAAACCTTTTCATTTTGATGTAGTCCCATTTATTTATTTTTCTTTTTGTTTCCCTTATCCAAGGATACATATCCAAAAAAATATTACGAAGAATGATGTCAGAGAGTTTAATGCCTATGGTTTCGTCTAAGAGTTTTATGGTTGTAAGTCTTACAATTTTGAGTTTATTTTTGTATATGGTGTAAGAAAGTAGTCTAATTTCATTTTTTTTTTTTGGTATATATCTATCCAGTGTTCTTTCTTTCTTTCTCCCTTCCTTCCTTCCTTCCTTCCTTCCTTCCTTCCTTCCTTCCTTCCTTCCTTCCTTCCTTCCCTTTCTTTCTTTCTTTCTTTCTTTCTTTCTTTCTTTCTTTCTTTCTTTCTTTCTTTCTTTCTTTCTTTCATCCTCACCCTAGGACATTTTTCCACTTTTTGTTCAGGTAGAGTGGGAGGGAGAGAAAGGAAGAGAGAGAGAGAGAAACATCGACATGAAAGGGACACATCTAGTGGCTGCCATCCACACGACCAACCAGGACCAGGGACAAACTGCAACCGAGGTACGCACCCCTAGCAGCAACCGAACCCGCGTTTCCCTGGACCACAGGCCGACGCTCACTGCTGAGCCAAACTGGCCAGGGCTGTCCAGTTTTCTTAACACCATTTACTGAAAAGGCTGTCTTCACCCCACCGTATATTATTGCTTCCTTTGTCATAGATCAATTGACCATATAGTTGTGAGTTTAACTCTGGACTCTCTATCCTGTTCCATTGATCCATGTGTCTGTTTTGGGGTCAGTACCATGCTTCTTTGAATAGTATAGCCTTGTGCTATAGTTTGATATTCGGGAGTGTGATCCCTCCAACTTTATTCTTCTTCCTGAAGATTGCTTTGGCTCTTCAGGGTCTTTTGTGGTTTCATATAGATTTTAGGACTATTTGTTCTAGTTCTGTAAAAAAAATGCCGCTGGTATTTCTATAAGAATAGCATTGAATTTGTAAATTGCTTTGGGTAGTATGAGCATTTTAACAGTGTTAATGGTAGTGAGATTCTTGACTCAGGAAATAATAAACCAAAGATTGTAAAATCCTTTAGTGGTTATTTTGTATGAGATGTGTATATGTGAGAAATGGTAGGAAGCAAGAGTTCATGGCTTTCACAAGTCAATACAATGTGAATGCTCATGTTTAAGCACATACATATGTTTAAAACACATACTTACCAATATTTTAAACAGAACATAACTTATATTTTCTTCATTAAAAAATATTTGAACCCTGGCCAGTTTGGCTCAGCGGTTAGAGCATCGGCCCAGGAACCAGAGAGGCCCGGGTTTGGTTCCAGCTAAGGGCACGTACCTGGGTTGCAGTTTGTCCCCTGTCCCGGTTGGGGTTGTGTGTGTGGCAACCACTTGATGTGTCTCTCTCACATTGATGTTTCTCTCTCTCTCTTCCTCCCTCTTTCCCTCCCACTCTATATCTCAAGATAAAATGCAAAAATGTCCTCAGGTGAGGATTAAAAAAAATATATATATATGTATATATATTTGAAATGAGAAAAGGGAATGCAGCCAAGGTTGAGGCTTGGATCTCACAAATGTCAGGACATAGGTAACGTTCCTTTACATCTCCATTTCTTACACCTGCTGTTCAGCGTCATTTAGGAAAAGTGGCTTAGGATAGAATTGGCAATCAATGTACATGCAGAGGTGGAGTCTGGGTCAGCCATCAAAAGACCCAGGCAAACTGCAATGTGCATGCTTGCTGTTCTCCAGCCTTTCTGTAGCTCTCTCTTGGCTTGCACAAACCATGTTCATTTACCCTGAATTCTCCAAAAGTTATGCTGCCTGACTGCAGTCCAAACCTCACCCCCACCTTCAGGGTCTGTGCTGCAGAATGACACCCGTCTTATATCCATTACTCGGCCCTTTCTCTCTCCACCACATTCCCTCTCAAACGCTCCATTCTGCTTAGTCTCCAAAGGTTAGGACCTGAGAAATATATGTTAGTGTTATGACCATTGGCTTCCCTATTCTAAGAAACAAAAATGTAGGTGGGGTGGTTTGGAAAAGGTGTGGTGGGTCAGGAGTGGAGGTCACGAGCAGGCCCGGGGAGAGCCTTTCTCTTGCCCGCAGTCCTCGGGGTCAGGCCACATGCAAGCCCACATGCAAAGATCGCCAAATTCTGATGCATGCGTGTAGGGATAAAAAAGAAAGGGCTACACTTTTTAGCCACAGATTTATTTCTTTTATGAATATAGGCAAATTATACACATCATTCCTGTATTATATCAGGAACAATTCCTATGAATAATAAGCAAACATTTATGAAAAAAATTCTCATATAAAATTTCATTAAGCTGGGAGGAGAAAGTAAAAATAGCACATCTTCAAAGTAGGAATGAAATATTTATTTTCAGAGGGAGAGACATGTATCAACAAAACGCCCAGAGGCCTTAGGTTTTCTCTAGGAATTTTATTTTAATGGAATCTGATAAAATAATAAAACTGTGTTTTTCTTTTTCTTTTTGGTATGCGCCCCTAGCGGGAACCGAACCCAAGATTCTCTGGTCCACAGGCCGATGCTCCAACTGCTGAGCCAAACTGGCCAGGTCAAACTGTGTTTTTCTTAAGAAAAAAAAAAGCAATAAAGTATTTTCTATCGGTAAGATTTTTTTTTTTTATTAATTAATTTTTGTTACAGATGTTCTATCTGGTAAGATTTAAAAATAATTCTTCCCCCCTGATTTTTAAATTCTGGTTTTCACATGTTTTATCTGAGTTTGGTAAATTGGACTCCTTTTCCTCCTCCAATATCAGAAATAAGTATTTTCTATGTAAAGGTGTTTTTCTCTCTTCCTTTGGGAATCAGCTCTCAATCCAGGATATGGGTAAGAAGAGCGAACACCTGAGAAAGTGAGCTGCAATATATTTTATTCCTCGCTACCATAATCAAAGACTAGCAGTCAAATATAAGTTAATATTGAGACTGTCAACCATGCATCTGGGAAATAGTGCCCAGTTAATAAGTGGAAGAATAATACCGTGCGCATGTGCACACACACATGCGTGCACATACACACACACACACACACACACACACACAGCCTAGCTCTCTCTCCCTTCAGCCTTTTGCCTTCACAGGCACTTAAGACAAGTTTGGAAGGAGACTTAAAGAGGTGGCAAAAATCCCAAATTCCCCTTTTTTAGGGAGAATGGAAGCCAGTAAGAGATACCATTTGAAGCTGAATGTTTTCCTTGTGGTGTGTACCTTGGTTGGCCAAGCCACAGAGACTGGGTAGGAAAATGACCAACTGGCATATTAGGTAGGCAGGTCCACTTCTGATTATGTGGACTAGAGCAGGCCTTCTAACTTGCATATACTTGTGAACCACTGGGGATCTTGTTGACATATAGATTCTAATTAGGTAGGCTTCTGGAATGGGAGCCAACATTCTGCATTTCTGACAAGCTTTCAGTCTTGCGGATGCTGGTGCAGAACGACCGCTCCCTGTCCTCATCTTCCTACCTCCTGACCATCGTAGAATTGTAGAACTGAAATGGATCTCAAGCATTTAGTTGCCCCTAAAATATTGGTCTCTGGAGTGACTGACTGCATCTGAATCACAGGGGGAGCTTTAAAATCCTGGATTCCCAGAGGTCCTGATTCTCAGGCACTACATTCTCTCAAAGCTCCCCAGGCCAACTGCTGCAACAAAGAGCCTCTGGACCATTATCAATCTTAATGTATACTTAATTCTTAAGTATCAAATGTAATTCAGGTCCAATCCTGTTTAATGGGATGCCATTCCACCCAGAACATTTCCTCTTCCTGGAAGCAAGCCCCAAAAGGTCTAATGTAAATTTGTTTCTACCCAATTCTGATAGAAAGTTGCTTGAAGAAGTGCACTATGGAAATGGAAATGGTTCCCATGATATCCCCCTGGGAGAAAATTTTCGTTTAAAAGGACTTTGTTCCAGGGTGTTTTTCTGACGCCCAATGAAAATACTGATGCATTCAATGGTTTGCACACAATCAGCAACCCTAAAATGGACATGTCATCTTTTCTTCTTAGAACTTAAAACATTCGTGCTTATCATTCCCATCTTATGTGCCCTAGCTCCAGTATGGGGTAGCTTTACCTGGTCTCTCTGATTTTGGCGAAACATGGAAACATGGCACCAGGTCTGCCCATTCTCTCTCCTTACTGAGTGGTGCCAATTCAGCGGTTTAAATAGTTCCTGCTCCATCATTTTTGGTTCTTTCCTTTTTGGAAGAAGAAAACAAGTCTCCATTCATGTTAAAGAAAAGTATATCCTGGTCTTGTCCCACACAAACAAGTTAGGTTGCAGAAGGAACACCACTTTGAAGGGCTGTCCCCACAGGGTCTGCCTCAAAGCCAGACCTTTCCGCTCCTCCTCCAGGGAGACATCTCATCCCAGGGGCTTTGCCTCCTGGTCCTGAAGCCACACTGGGCTGCTCTGGCAGCCAGACACTGCAGCCTGTGGACACCTCCTGAAGGCGTTTCCTGGTAAACAGGATGTCTTGCGCCCCATCTCTTTGGGTTTCTCTGCTGGACACAATCCTGTTTGCATCCTATGAATGCAAACACAGGACGAGCCTTCTTTGGAGTGAAATTTCTTTCTGGAGCAGTCTTTAAGCAAGTGGCCTTGGATTACTTATGTTTTAATTTTTTTCCCTTTAATGATTTTAGAGAGAGATAGAAACATCAATGAGAGAGAACATTGATTGGCTGCCTCCTGCATGCCCCGCACTGGGGATTTGGCCCACAACCTGGGCATGTGCCCTGACCAGGAATCAAACCAGCGACCTCTTGGTGCATGGGTTGATGCTCAACCACCGAGCCACACTGGTCAGACCTAAGATTACTTCTTATTTAAGGACATTATAAACATTTCTGGGGCTGTAGGTTTCATCAGGAGCTTTTATTGTGTAGTGGACTGAGCCCTGGTTAAGAGCGAGAGGGCTGAGAGCTAGGCTCAGGTTCCCTCTGCATGGTCGGGTGTCCCAGTGAGCTTCAGGCTTCCTGTCCTTCTAAAGGGCTAAAGTTGCCCTGACTATTTAAAATGAGAGGAGACACCGCCTGGCTAGTGTGGCTCAGTGGTTGAGTGTCGACCCATGCACCAGGAGATCGCCGATTCGATTCCTGTTTGAGGCACATGCTCAGGTTGTGGGTCACATCCCCAGTGCGGGTAATGTTGGAGGCGGCCGTTCAATGCTCTCTCTCATTGATGTTTTTATCTCTCTCTCTCTAGTATAATAAAGAAAAAAATGAAAAACAAATAAAGTGAGAGGAGACATGTCAAAGTACTTGGTAAGCTGTAAACCCTGAAACAAATATAAGACAGTATTGTTACCACCAAGAAATAATATCCTATATGTCCTGTGTAACTGTTGATCTCCATCACTATTAGCCTTTTGGACGTTGTGTGACAGATGGTGTGAGCTGTGAAAATTCTCATCCCACATCTCCCGTGGGAGCTGAGTTTGCTGAGGTCCCAGCTGCTGGGCTCTGAAGGTCAACACGGTGCTGGCAGCGGCCATGTCTTCCAGGAGCTGCTCCCTGCATGGCTAAGTGTGGCAGGGATCCTAAGGCATGGGAAATGCAGGTTCCTCGTAAGGGGGCTGAAGACTCCTCCTTCATCTTGCTGAAACTTTTCTAGAAATGTCAGAGAAGTTTCAGACCTTCCACCTTCCCTCTCTCCTTCAGAGGACTCAGAACTCATCGCCATCTGATGGTTCCCCTGCCTTCTCTACCTCCCTCCTCATTTCCCCCTGTTCCCTGTCTTCATCTCATAAGACAGGCCTGTCGTCATCTCATCTTAGCATCTGCTTCTTAGCCTCGGAGTCATGCAGACCATGAATGCAGCTTCCTGTGAAAGTCCCACAGCGCTAGAGCTGTTAGCAGTGACCATTCCCCAGACCCTTCCTGGTGAGGTCAGTTCTCCGGTTCTACTCAGTTCTCGGATGTGTGGACAGTTCCCTTCCAAGTGTCCTGTTCTTGGCCCCAGCACCCTCTGGCTACTAACTGCCTACGTGGCCACTGGCAGGGACGGAGCCCAAGCACCCATTCCGGGACCCGAGACCCACTCGACCTGCTCCGCAGCCTCTCCCATAGGCCCGCCACTTCCCTCTGTAGTCCCTCCCCCACAAAAGCCCTCATGTTGACCCCCAGTAGCCCTTAATGTTCCTTTACGAGAATGAACTAGGTTGTGATGGAGTGACTTACTCATTTCTCAGTGACTTAAAATAACAAAGGTTTATTTCTCACTAGATCCTCCTGCCTGACCTGGTTTGGCCAAGGGCTGTGCTTGTCACAGTCACTTGGGGCCATGGGCTGAGGCTGGGGGAGGCTTCCTCTCACATGTACCGATGACCGAGGCAGAGAGGAGCGGAGTGGAGGCTGAGCGCCTGCAATGAGATGCTTGCTCCCGAAAGTGACACTCCCTCTGCTCCCATTTCTCTGGCCAGGGCAAGCCACTTAGTCACACCTACCTTCAGGGGCCAGAGACGTAAAGGGAGCACAGGGAATACTTACTGTCACGGTCCCTCAGAAAAGTGGGTGTGAAGGAGCCCTGGTTTCCACACATGAGCTCTGTTGGTTGTTCTGGATCCCACGAGGGCTCTATTCCCTGAAGGGGCGAGAAAAATAATTTTAAACCCCCTAAGGCCGAGCCTAGAGATTTCTAACACCGCAGAAGAAAAGTTTTGTTCATCCACACCCTGCTGCAGTCTGATAAATGCCCATCTTGGTTAGGAGGACACTGCCAGGAAGGGGCTGGGTTTGGTGAAAGGTCTGTTAATGCGACCAGAATAGCACACTGCCACTGTCCGAGCGGCAGTCGGCCAGCTCGTCATTCCCAGCCACGGAACAGGGCCTCTCCAGCGGTCCCCGGGCTCCGGGACCAGGGACAGGAATCCCGGCAAGTGGTCCGCCATGCCGGCAACTGTGGGGAGGCCGGACTGAGCAGGGCTGGGCGCCTGCCGCCCAGAGCTGGCGACACGGGCTGTTGCAAACGGCCTGGGAAGTGAACGGCCGTCTTGCTCAGCCCTGTGTGAGCTGCGCGCTGGGCAATGGACGGGGCGGGCCCTCTCCTGGACTCAGCCGCAGGACGCTCTTCACGCAGCTGGTCCGTGGGTTCCTGCTTTTCCGAGGGGTTCGGGGGGTTCTTAAGTGCTTTGAATCTAAAATGCCAAGTGCAGTGCGGGTTGAATTCCAATTCTGTTGGGTGTGTTGAGGAAAAGGTGATGCTACGTCAAATGAGTTGTTCGTGTGTGTGAAACATACAATCAACAAATGAACGGCAACGTCCGTTTCTCCAGTGGCCGCACAAAGGAAAATGAAAACACATAACCTATCTGTAGAAAGTTAAACAGAATCCTTCTCCTTAAGAGATAATGCAGTGTAATGGAAATGAAAGGACGGAGGATAATTTAGCAAAGGACTTAAGCATAAGTGAGAGAACTTTTTGAACATATTAGTTTGAAAGAGTATAGTAATATTCTGTTTGCTTCAAAAGAAGACTTTAGGTCTCAGAGTTTACTTTCTCTGGGCTATCACTATAGTGCAGCATCCTGGTCCCTCTAAGGTTTAAGAAACTCATTAAAAAATATGATTTGCAGCCCTGGCCAGTTTGGCTCAGCGGTTAGAGCGTCGGCCGGCGGACCCAATAGTCCCTGGTTCGGTTCCCGCTAAGGGCACGTACCTCGGTTGCAGTTTTTCCCGGCCCCTGGTTAGGGTCGTGTGGGTGGCAACCAGTCGATGTGTCTCTCTCACATCAATATTTCTCTCTCTCCTTTCCCCCTTCTCTTCCTCTCGCTCTATTTGAAGATAAATGCAAAAAATATCCTTGGTGAGGATAAAATATATATATATGATTTGTAGTCATGAGCTTCATTGTAGGCCCTGACAAAGCAGCCAGGAGAGCTGTTCAGTATTGTAGTGTAACTGACTTGGGTGTAGCTCTCTGAAATGGGCTGATGTCCCTTTTCTTGTCACTGCTCATGGAACACTGACAAGTGGTCTGTGTTGTTCTGTAAAACCAGAAACCAGTTAGACTTCTGTACGTGGCACACAGCAGCATTTTCTCTGGGTGCTGTTCTACACCCTTGCCAAGTTTTATGATGGGATGATGAATTCTTCTTACCAGTCTTTATTGAACCTAGAGTTTTATAAGGACAAGGCCCATGTTTGTCTAAGGAGAGACAGACAGTATTGATTTCTGTCTGTAGGTATAAAGACTGGGAAAGCCTTGTTTTTATTTTTATTTTATTTATTTTTTTAATCCTCGCCCAAGGATATTTGTCTCTTGATCTTCAGACAGAGTGGGAGGGAGGGGGGGAGAGAGAGAGAGAGAGAGAGAGAGAGAAACATCGACGTGAGAGGGACACATCAACTGGTTGCCTCCCACATGACCCCGACCAGGGCCAGGGACAACTGCAACCAAGGTATGCACCCTTGACTAGAATCAAACCTGGGACTCTCTGGTCCGCAGGCCGACACTCTAACCGCTGAGCCAAACCGGCCAGGGCTCAAGACTTGTTTTTAGAAGAGCATTAGGTCACTAGATAACATAGATTTTTATGGAGTTGAGAGCCCTCTTGTTTCTTGTTAGTCTAGGGACAGTTTGGCTAAGGGTATAAACAGGTACTCACCCAGATCTATTTTGAGGATTAGACAGAGATGCCTAGCTTCAACATTATGGAAAATATCCATCTTTAAATTAGTATTGAGCAAAATACCTATGACTAATTTATAACATAGAGCCCTAATTGAAAAATAAATAAAATTTCACCAGAAATGAACTTCTTCAATATTGGGTATGATTATTGATCCTTTAAGAGAGGATCAGGGTATGTAGAAGGTATCTTCTTAATCCAGGTTGTGTCAGGTGGGGCTTTGGTGACACCATTATTAATCATGGGTCTTAGTCTGCCCCAGTACAATGGTACCCATCAAGAACAGAAAGTATATGTTAATAACAGCTACAATTTATTGACCACCTACTATATATAGCTTTATTCCAGGTACTTTCCAGGCCTTACCTTGTTTAGTTTACCATCCAATAGATTGTGTAATTGAGATAATTTGTGTTCACTTTGGTGGGGAGACTATAAATTGAGATTTAAAAAATAATTATGGCTTGTTATTACATGAGTCTGAAAGCTCAAATATGACTCCTCTGAGATTAAATCACTAATACACCCATCTTTGTGTTGATGTTTTCCTGTATGGCTGGAAATGCAATTATTTTCTAAGAGCCAGGATTCTTATAGGCAAGTAAGAGAACCCAAGTGATATTCAATTGAGAGTTTTCTAATTAGAAGTATCTGTCAGTGGGAATGCCTTCAGCTGCAAGTAATAAAATATCCTACTGACAGCTGCTTAAACCAAAGACATTAACTATTCCACTTAATAAGAATTCTAAGGGCTAGTGATTCAAGAGTTAGATTAGTGGTCCAACAATGTCAGGCTAAGTCACCATCTCTATAATTGTCTTGGCCTTTTCTTTAAGGTTACAAGGTAGTTGAAACAGATTTAATTATCGTGTCCTCATATAGCAACACAGGGGGTGGCCAGAAAAGTGGAGTTCTCTCTTTTTGAACCAATCACGATTCATCCTCTGGAACCAGGTTTACTGCCCTTGTAGTAGGCAGAATAACTCCCCCTCCCCAAATATGTCTACCACCTGGTCCCTGAATCCTGTGAATATGTTACCTTACATGGAGAAGGGACTTTGTAAATGTGATTATGTTAAAGATCTTGAGATGGAGAGACGATCCTAGATAATCAGGTGGGCCCAATGTAATCCCAGGGTCTTTCTAAGAGGGAGACAGGTGAGGCAAAGTCAGAGAAGGAGCTGGTGGAAGCAGAGGTCGAAGAGATCCAGGGACACACACACACACACACACACACACAATACAGGCAGCTCCTAGAAGCTGGAGAAGACAAGGAATGGATTTTCCCCTAGATCCTCCAGAAGGAATGCAGTCCTGGTGCCTCAGTTTATACTTCTGACCTCCGGAACTGTGAGATAACTTTGTGTTGTTTTAAATCACTGAGTTTGTGGTAATTTGTTACAGTAGCAATAGAAAAACAAATACATATACCTTTCAAACAAAATTGAGATTCTGTTATCAAGAACAAAGAAGGAGTAGCTGTGGGTGGGTAACTGAGTGTTTCCTACACTGCAGGAGAACCTGAGTTACTACGCGTCACAGTGCAGTACTGGCTAAAGAAAAACCCAGTAGGTGCAGCTTATGGGTTGCTGGTTCTGGAGTCGATGTTTGAATGGAAGCACTGTGGCCAAATGCATCTGGCCTGAGGACAATACGACTGAAGTTGTACTTGGGACCTAAGATTACTAGATCAAGTCCTGGTGCCTCAGTTTTCTTGACTGCACGAATAGTTGAGCAAATCTGTTTTTTTTTTCCCCATGAATAATTAGAAAGGTACTTCCTATTTGTAAAAAAAGTCTCTGTCAGGATTACTCATTAAATATGTCAGACTGATCACAGACTTATTTCTGCTCTCTCCCAAAACTCCGCGAGGATGACATTAAAAAAAATTAAAAAACAAGTGAAATCAGGGGAATTAGGTGAAATATTTCACACTGAATGGTGAGATCTCTTTTTGTTCCCTTTCTGCTCTTGGCTATGCAGAAGTTGGCTGCCAGATTTATCACCTATTCTCTTATCTTCCTCGTATCCCAGGCAGGAGATTGGATGTCTTTCTGGAGAAAATGACTGGCTTGTGAAAATATGTCAACTTGACATTATTTCAGTTTAGCCCTGGTTAAAATAGGAAAATAGGTCACAAAGTATAAACATATGTGGTAAGAAACATGGAGAAAGAAGAATTTGGTTGAAATAAGTAATTCGGATTCAGAGTTATTTGCTTCATGTTAATAAGATGAATAATTGGGGGATTTGTATATTTAATTGTATCAAAAACACAGTGGATGAAAATTTCAATCCAAATGGGTTAAGTTCTCTTTAAGTTTATTTTTTAGTTTATATATGCTTTGACTCTTGAAAATATAATTATACTTCCTCTTACTTATTTGCTTACTAAGGGCAGAAACTCCATGATATTTAACTTCTAATTATAATATAGTTGTTGAATTTTGTAATTGTGATACTATGTATACTGTAGAAAATTCTGTTTGCTAGAGAGAATTGTGTTTGCTCATTTAAGTTATAAACTTTGTTATGGGAAATTGAATTTTCTGCTCTGTTTTCTTACAATTAAACCACTGATTATCACCATATTTGTCTTGTTCAGTTGACTCTACCAATAGAAAAGCCATGTAAATTCCCTGGGTATTTCCTTCTCATGGTTGTGTTAGTGAAAAATAAAGTGGAGTTTATAGAATATTCATTTCGTTCTTTTTTTTTTCCTTTCAGTCCTCACTCAAGGATATATTTTATTTATTATTATTTTTTGTTAATCCTCACTTGAGAATATTTTTTCATTGATTTTTGGAGACAGTGGAAGAGAGAAAGGGAGGGAGAGAGAGAGAGAAAGAGAAACATCAGTGTGAGAGAGACACATCGATTGGTTGCCTCTTTCACAACCCCTAATGGGGCCAGGTATTGAACCTGCAACCAAGATACATGCCCTTGACTGGGAAT